TAATGTAAAAAAAACACTATGTAGGGGCCAAAAATAGAATAAAATCACTACAGCAACCTCTCTGCTCAGGACAAAAATGTTTGAGTAGTATTAAGACTTTGGAAAGTAGCCCAGAATTTCTCTAATACAAGCAAATCCAGAAATAGAATCATCATGTGACTGAGTCCATCACTCCAGGGGAATTCCTGAAGTCCCCAAAGTCCTACTGCAGAGATGCTTGCACATCCATGTTTACTGCTGCTCCAGTCACAATTGTTGGACAAAAGAAGCAGCCTAGATTTAACTAAACTAATGAATGGAAAATCAAAATGTTGTCCATAGTCATAGTAGGGTTTTACTCAGTTATAAAAAACATGATGGATGGGACTGGAGAAACATTATACTCCATTAGTTAACCCAGGTTCAGACAGACAAAGGCCATATTCTCTGTCATATCTGACTGCTAGCTTCAATCTTTAGTTTGATGTTTTTAACTTGGAGTGCCTCTGGGAGCCATGAAAAATGGAAATAGAAAAGTTTAAGTAGGAAGAGGGTAGAGACAGCTGATGGAGACAAGAAAGCTTGGGAAAGAGTTAATCAAAAATCAAAGATATATGAAAATCAATATGGAAACCTATTACCTAATAATCTGATAAAATACAATTTAAATGATTATAAGAGACCATACATGTCTGGATAATGTTGCTTCTAGCCATGAGTTACTAAACACAAACCCCAATGCCAGATGTAGGCCCTGTTCTTATGGGTATTGACAGTCAGGGAAGTCTCAGTTGCCCTGACATCCACATACTCTTCTGTTTTTCTTCTTGGTTGATAAGATCCTTGTATTCATTTGGGTTTCTATTGTTGTGAAAAGACACCATGACCATGAAAACTTTAATAAAGGAAAACATTTAATTGGGGCTGTCTTACACTTCAGAGGTTTAATCCAATATCATCATTGGGGGAAGCATGGTGGCATGCAGGCAGACATGGTGCTGGAGAAGGAGTTGTGAGCTCTGCATCTGGATCAGCAGGCATCAGGGAGGGAGGAGAGACACTGGATCATGTTTGAGCATCTGAAACCTCAAAGTCCATCCCCAGTTCCACACTTCTTCCAGTAAAGCCATATGCACTCCATCAAACTCATATCTCTTAACAGTGCCACTCCCTATAAGCCTATGGGGAATATTTTCATTCAGTCCAACACAATCTTATTGCTACAGACATTACACATTTTGGTTGCATCATATAGATATATAGGGAAGTGAAACTAAGTCGGAAACTTCCTACCTGTTGACTAGCTTTCAGAGTCCTGTAAAGTATGATGACGTTTGGTAGGAAGAAAAAGCAAGGGCCATCTTACTCAGCTCTGCAAGTGACATTACCAACCCGCTCATCAAGGTGCAGCCATCTGTGTGATCGTGGCGTGACTGTTACAGGGATAACCAACAACCTCGTATTAAATTTGAGGCTAGCGTCAAAGGAGACAGTCCCTGCATGGTACTGTAAACCCAATAAAACACATGACTTGGTACCTCACAGGCATTAGGGGGAACTTGATACTGTTTAGTTGAATTGGTGTAGTGCTAAACTACCAGAAAAATAACTGTTTACACCTGTAGATGAATGCTACTCTCAGCCTTAATCTCTTTCCATTTAACAACAGCGGATTCCAAGACTCACAGCTTCACCACATGCTACAATAAGAGACGAATGAGTGCTCAGATCTAAACAAGAAATTTGTGCAGCCCCATATAAGGCACCACCTTCTGGGGCTAACACAGCCCCTCCCTGTAATCATGTACGTACAACAACTGTCATTATCTGACTACAGCGTTGTACAAAACTGGCCCTGTAAACAGTCAGTCATGGCAAGAGAAGAGTTCAAGGGCCCTACCTCTCCTGTCTCATTTATAGGCTACGGGGACTCTGCAAGAAGGGCAGTCCTTGTCTTTAGTTTTTGTGTTCACTGGTGACCCCACCAACAACCAGGGGGTTAGAGCAAACCCACAGATACTCCTGTTAAACTCATTTAGTCAAAAACCAAAAAGACTTGAATGTGGGTTGCAAAGGGGTTTTGTAGGGGGGATTGGCTGGGGAAAAAGGGAGATAGAATGTGTTATACACAATATATAAAATTGTCAAAGAGCAACTTCAATTAAAACATTTGAATGCATGATTTATCTGTATTTGTATGTATATGCATGTGATATCTTAATACATATGTCTAAAATACACATCCCTGTGGATAAATTATTTGTTACCAAGTGAATTCTGCACTTGCCAAGAGAACTAGATTCTTGTCCTAATTTCTTGGCAGTCTTTTGAAAGCAGTACAACATTATACATGGGTGAAGGGCTTACTGAAGTTAAACAGCTAGAGTCAATTTGTGGGATTGTCATTTGCTAGCTTTGTAATTTGGTGTAAATTACTTGGATTCTCTGTGCCTTAATTTTCACACATAGATTGGGTTGCTATGAGGGTGAACTGAGTGGTACATGTAGGAATCTTTGATCCATACTTGCAATGCTGTAGCGGATCAGTAAATGTAGATCCATCCAGGCCAACCGAACGATCTCCCCAACACATCAACCTGTTGAATATCATTGCAGTTTCCTTCCCAGGATCAGAATTCCCATTCTCTTACCCATCATAGACTCTCTTCCTCCCTCTGGAGGCAGACAACAGCACTACCAAGCCCAGCATTCTGGTTGCTATGGGTACCGATGTAACGCGGTAACCAAGGGGACGAAGGCGGAAGCTTCAGGCGGCTGTGGCAGCAGCTGCTGCAAAGAGGGTCGCAGGTGAGTTGAAGGATTAAGGAGGTACACAGCCAGTGGAGGATTTTGCCGTGGAGAGCCGGGAGATAAGCTGCATCTGGGTGGTACAGAGCGGGCAGCAGCAGGTGAGAAAGGAGACGCCCCGGGGTTAGGAGAAGAGCATCAGTCAGTCTAGGAGGTATATGCTGGACCCTTGCCATAGCAGACTCCTGGATCAGAAATAGCTCTGGACCAGGAGTTCACGTTTCTAAATAAAAGTCTTTGATCAATGATGTCATTACATACAAGAACCAAGCATGACGCCCAGACAGAGAAAGCCCAGCCTCCCTCAGTTACAGCATCCCCAATTCCCTTCTTTTCAAATGCTGTTCTCTTTTGTCCTTGGAAGTCACTGGTGCCCTGTGAAACAGGTAGCTACCGCGGAAACCATCTCACATAATCCCTTTGCATCATTCTTTCTGCCTGTCTGTTCTCATTTAGCCACTTCTCTCTTGAAGTTCGCTTCTCTCAAGTAATGGCTGGTAGGGCAGGAGTGCCTGGTTCCAGAAATACCCGAGGCAGTGGATGTTTAAGTCTCTTTATCTCCCTTATTCCTTTTTGATTGTTTTGTTTTGAAACCAAAATGAGCATGAAGAGAGACTTTGGCAAGTCGTGTCAAAAAAAAAAATACTTTGTGGAAGTAAATCTGGATAAGATTAAACTGAATTGTTTGCTCTTGGTAATCTCACCTCTTTCCCTGATCCTGTTGTTTGACCTGGCAGGCTACACAGAAGCTGGCTCTGATTTCCATAACAATGCTAGGTGTCTTACAAAGGAATTCCCTAAAATTAGTTTCCCTCTTTCCTTCTTCCCAGATGCTTAACATTTCCTGCAGTTATTTTGTTTGCTTTTTTTTTTTCGTGTTTTTAATTCCTTCATGAGAGCAAACATTCAGAGAAGATTGGTGTAACACTTACCTTGCTCTTTTGTACTTCATACTACACAGAGAGATATTTGATTAACATTCGTTGATTGCTCATTTGTATTTTGTAGCAGATATGTAAAAACACAAACATTTGTTGTGGGTCAAAGACTTAATATTTTTCTTCCTAGATATGATTGTGCAGTAAGTTAGGAGTAGTGGAAAATAAAATTTTTACAACTTAGTATGAGATTTTTCCACACTGTCAGATATGCAGGAACTGTGACAACACATGGAGATTCAAAGATCAATGAAAAGTTGCTTCTCAAATATCTGGGCTACGTAGAAAACAGCATCTATTTAAGTAGTTATGCAAAAATAGAGTCAATGATAATAAATGAAAACATACACAGTTTCTAAAGAGAAGATTTCCCTTTTTCTTTTGGTGGAAGAAGCAGTAAGAAAGTCAGTCTTCCAACAGCGTAATGAATAGAATAATGAAAAAATAGAACAGGAGACTAGGAGGAAGGAGATACTTAATAGAAAATATTAATCCTAAGGGCCAGCAGAGTACTAGAGTCATAGTTATTGTATGTAGAGTATTCCTTAAAATATTTATTGCAGTGTGTGCGTGTGTGTGTGTGTGTGTGTGTGTGTGTGTGTGTGTGTGTGTTACATATGGAGGTCAGAAAATGAGTGCAGAGAAATTTTCCTCATTCCACCATGTGGACTCCTAGGCTTGGATTCAGCCTTTTAGTTTAATTGTCAAGAGCTTCTAACTGGTGAGTCATCTTGCTGGCTCTCGAGAACTAGAGAAGCAATTGGACCCCAGACAGGTATTAAATATGTCACTATAAAAATTTTAAAATATGTAATCTTCGAAAGTGTGAAAGGCGATGACTGGGAAAGAGAAAGTCATATTTACCAATAAAACCTTGAGTGTGTTTAGACATTTAGATTGTTATGAATTGGACTTAATGATGTTGAGAGTAAAGAACTGTAACTAGGTTTAACGTCTTAAGAGCAGCTGCTGGGACTAGAACAAGTAACAGAAGAGTAGTTCTGGTTGTTTCACCATCTTCACATGCTTAATGATTGAATGCTTAAAACATGCGTGGGAAAACAGAGTAACGGCCGGTCATATGAGAACAGATGTAGCTGATAAAATATTAAAGGGCCTGGTTTCTGAAAACTGTAATCTAAAGATGTAAAAATTTCATTGTGGTTTGAAATCATCTAACTTTTTATTTGATCTTAAATTAATAATTGCTTCTTTCCCATTGTGTTTTTCATAGATTTTAAAGGCAGTTAGAGAAGTGTTTACGTCTACAGAGTCCTCACTACTTAAAGGGGGTCTTCTGACTCGAATCAGGTCTAACGTAAGATGTAAGTAACTTAAATTCAGTATTCTTTCTCATCATTTTTAACATTAACATGTCCTAAAAGACTATCTTACGTTGCTATCTAAATACAAACCTTCCCAGTTGTTTAGGAAAGCAGTGGTGTAGAGCATAAAATATTGGGCTGTGTGTGTACCTTCAGTACCACTGAGCTGTGCCCTCCAGAGATCCTGAGTGGATAAAAAAGGCTGGAAATCAGACCGCCTGACTGATGTTAGGGCCTGTCATGGGCAAACATGACATGTGCCACTCACACCCAGCATCTTAGGCTGGAGATCATCTATGATCTCTTCATCCCTTACACTTTTTAAAGATTCGACACACGGATATTAAGTAAGTGTTAATATCAGATATATTGAAATTTAGAGTTAACATTACTTTAGTACTTTGAAGTGTTTGTTTTCTAATAAACTTAATTTTTATTTAACATTTCTTTCATAAATCTCAGATTTCCTTGGACTATTTTACCCAATGAGGTAAAAGTGTTTAATCCTCCCCCAAAGAATCTAATCATTAGAAACTTTATAAATATGTTTTAAAGTAAAAAAAAAAATAAACATTTTAGTGGTAAGCTCTTAAATTTTAGTGTATAAGGTTATTTGAGGCATTAGAAGATTCAAGTAACCCACAAAGGAGTCTCGATTATGGCAGGGTATGTTCATTCATGATCTACTGACCATATACAGACAAGGATAGCTGTGAGCATAATCCTGAATTGTAAGGTCACTTAAACCATTATGAGCTTTTGAGTTTCTGATGTAGCTTAACAACACAGTTCTCGAGTGTTAACTTTTTGGATTATATTATCATTTCTCAAGTTCAAAAGCCTGGCTAATTCTGCAGAGATAAAATGTTCCTCAAAGTATTCATTCTGCCAATGGAAGAGGGCTAAGTTCTTTGGAAACTTGGGGCACCTCTTAGCACCATTTTTTCTTGTTTCATGATCATTGTACATTCCTTTCTTCTATTGTAGTTACAAATACTCTCTATTCTGCTGGTCCCCTGGACTAGTTTCTCTCTACCCACAGGGTCCTGCTCACTAACTCCTGTAGGCCGCTTAAGAAATAACCACTTTAAGACTTAATATTAATTATATACTCTTTGGCCTATTACCTCAGGATTCTTGTTAACTAACTCTTACATCTTAAATGAACACATTTCTATTATTTTATATTTTACCACGAGGCTCGTGGTTTGTTACCTCTTGCTTTTTGGGTGGCTACATGGCATTTGCCTAACTTTGTCTCTTTTCTCCCAGCATTCAGTTTAGTTTTCCCCACCTAGCTCTATTCTGCCCTGCCATAGGCCAAAGCAGCTTCTTTATTAACCAATGGTAATAAAAACATACTCACAGCATACAGATTGGTATCCCACATCATTCCATTCTGTGGCAATAGAGTGACTGGATTTCTTTCCTAAAATGAAAACATGTGTAGAAACAGCATCAAACTCTAATAGTAAATCTGGTATCCAATTTGATTTATAAATGTTAGTGAAAATTAATCTAGATGACAATAAATTATGCAAACAACCTAACCAGGTAAAGGAAATACATGAGATGTGGCTTCCCTTCACCTGTAACTTCAGTTCTGGGATATTTGATGACCTCTTCTAGCTTTTGTGAGCACTTTACATATGTCGTGCACATACCATATATATATATATATACACTCAGACATACACATGTAAATAAATATATAAATAAACAAATCTTTAGAGAAAAAGAAGTCATTGGTATCTTGCAATTTTATGTTGTGTCTCCAGCTTTATGTTTTGCTATTTATGATTCAGACATTGTTATAGCTTTGCCATCTTGAGGAAGATGACTAATCATTTGTTGACTTTACCCAAAGAAAAGAGAGAATAGCATGACTCACCATAATAATCTTTCATTTTTATGCACGCCATAAATTGGCTTCTGTGCACGACTTGATAAACATTTAATTGAAAAGAAGCCTCACTAACTGCATTCAGTGAAGTGAAGTGCCCTCTGAATAAGACTGTTTATTAGTTAAATCACATTATCATCAGAGCTGTAAATCTGAATCATCTCATTCTAATGAGATTTACAGGCTTTCTTTCATCCTTTGTATGGATAGAATCAATCCTTGTGTGGATGTTAAATGTCCTGCATATGCACATGCCTAGAGAGGCACATCCCACAAAGGTCCTAATGTGCAAAGGAAATTAGGACAACAAATTATTTTGATGAACCAGAAGCATTAACTCCGGGCATCTTCTCCTGTTCTCCTTTGGATGGTACTTACGTAAGTTTAGGCTTTTATGAAGTCATCCAGATAGGAAAGAAGGCTAGCAGTTTGATTTCCTGATGAATATCAGGAGGTGAGATGGACTGGGTGGACTCTATCTTACTGTCTGGTAATATTTCTGAAAGAACTGCTTGTTTTATTACTCTCTGTCTCTCTGTCTCTCTCTCTCTCTCGTATGTGTGAATATATATATATGTGTGTGTGTGTGTGTGTGTGTGTGTGTGTATGTGTGTTTGTGTGTGTGGTATGAATGTGTATGTACACTCAATCATGTTGTTTATTTTCCTCGATCACTCCTCATCCGATTCTGAAGTTACATCTCTCACTGAACTTGTAGCTCGGCCAGCTGGCCAGTCATACTCCAGCATCCTCCTGTCTCAGCTCCACCCTGAGCCCCAACATTGGCATTACAGACACACACCTGTTCCTGTCTTTTTATGTAAGTACTTGAGATATGAAAGAAGATTCTCATACATACTTAGAGAATACTTTATGGATTGAGCAATCTCCCCGGTACTCCTGTAGATGTTTAAAAGATACTTTTTATAGCCCCTGCTTGATATAAATACACAAAGCTACTTCCTACAGAGATAATTCTTAAAGGTGGAAGAGTAGATGAGCATTCCTTTTGCAAATATTACACCCCCCCCCCAAGCAAACCAGGTATTTGTTTTTTATTCCCTAGATACCTTTAGATAGCATGACAGTTGCTTTAGCCTTTAGAGACAAGGCTTGGTGCCTGAGTGGGAGACAGATGCCTTCCTAGACTCTTTCTTTGATCAGAATGTGCCATAGTCCCACAATATTTAACTATTCTGTGGACTTTCCCTGGACAGAGTCTCTCTGGGGTAGACATTATGCTTTTTGTTTTGTTTTGTCCAGTATAAGGGGCATGCAGAGTAGCACAATTTCATGTGATGGGACCATGGGAAACAGCTAGAATTATTTTTGTTCATTGAAATTATAAATATACCCCATGGCACAACCAGTATATTGCATGTCATGCAGCACTTCTGTGATTTTGCTTTTGTACTGAAACCTTCGAATTATTTTCTTTGCACTTAGTGACTTTTCCTTATATTATTGTTGGTTATTTGTATGTCTTATTTTCAGAATGTCTATTCAGACTTTTTTTTTCATTTTTAAACTGGATATAAATATTAGCTTTCGTGTGGTGGGATTTCCTTGTGTATCTGGAACACTGATTCCTAATCAGATAGTTTGCAAATGCTCTCTTTCATTATTTTTGTTTTTATTAATTAAATTTATTCATTTATTTTATACCCTTACCACAGTTTTACTTCCCTCCTCTCCTCCTCTACCCTTCCCCCACCTCCCCCATATTCCCCTTAATCCACTTCTCCTCTGTTTCTGTTCAGAATGGGGCTTGTTTCCTCTGGTGTCAACATAGCAAGGCCTATCACGGTGAGGTAGGACTAAGCTTTTCCTTTGTATTAAGACTCCTAGCAGTAGTAGATAGGTAGCCTGAACTGGCCTTCTCTTATAATCAGATTGGTAACTACTCCAACTGTTTTCAAGGAGCCTTCACCCAATGACTGATGGAAATAGATGCAGAGATCCACAGCAAGCCCTGGGCTAAGCTCAGAGAATAACATTGAAGAGAGCTAGGAAGGGTGGTCTAAGCCTGGGGTGATGGTCGTGGTCATGGTCATCACCAGGGAACCCACAGAAACCATTAACCTGGGCTGGTAGGAGTTCACTGACTCTGGAACATATTTTATTTTTAAGAGGGATAGAATCAAATCGACCTATGAACTTGTTGGGTATGTGACTGGCTCTATAGACAGTTTTAAGAGAAGCATTCCCAAGTCATTGTGAAGAGTGATCATACTATTGAGATTCCATGGCAATTCTGCAGAGGAAGAACCTGACCAATTGGTTTGATTGTGTGGATTTTCATGTGGGGATGGAAATTTCTATGTTGGTGCTGTCTTTAATTTTTTGAACAAACTTTTCATATTCATCTTCTGTGTTTCTCTAAAAAAAATTTCACCAATTCTCCCTTTCTGAGGATTAAATTTTCCATGCTTGAACTATGCATTGTATAGTACTGACTGGGCTGAGGCTCAAGTTCAGTGTTAAGCCTGGTTGTCTCACACTCCCAAGACCTTGACTTTGCTTTCTGACACTGAAAAAACAAAAACCAGTCCCTCATCAGCTTCATCCTCTCTCTGTTCCCAGGATGCTGTTCTCTAGAAATTCTCTGCTCATCACCCAAACTGAATCTGTCATTAGTCCTGTCCTGAACTACTTTTCTCTCCCCATAATATGGAATGATTATCCAACTGATGTTCTGATCTCCAAACCCTTTGTTTCAAAACTTTATTTCAATGTGAGTCAGCCTGGATTCTTTCCTGTATCATGTCTATAAGTTTTATGGCCCTTATTATTTCTCCTTTGTTATATGGCTTTTATATGCAAGTTTATATGCTCTCTTTGACTTTAAGCTATTTGAGCTCAGAAACAAATTTTCTTAGGCCTTGACTCTTCTTACCTCCCAGTACAGAGCCATGAATACATTAGAGTTCTAGTACATATTTATTGAGGTCCTGGGCACATAGCATTAAATAGTTCGGACAGTTAGGATATGGTCACTTCAGTATTTTTAGAAGAGATTTTTGAGATTTTTTTTTATTTTGTAGATAAGGTTTTATAGAACTACCCCCCCCCCCTTTTTTGTTTTTTTTCGAGACAGGGTTTCTCTGTGGTTTTGGAGCCTGTCCTGGAACTAGCTCTTGTAGACCAGGCTGGTCTCGAACTCACAGAGATCCACCTGCTTCTGCCTCCCTAGTGCTGGGATTAAAGGCGTGTGCCACCACCGCCCAGCAGAACTACCCGTCCTTAAACTCACTGTGTACCTGTTGATGACCTTGAACTTCTGATTTTCATGCTTCTGCTTTCTGAGTAGTGCTCAGCCACATCTGTTAACGGTCCTATTTGGGCTCAAATCCAGAGCTTTATGCATGGCAGGCAAGCACCTTTTCAAAGAGATACATCTCTAATCTTAGACATTAACAATTTTTATTGATATGAAATACTGTAGTAGTGCATATGAATCTGTAGTTCAGCACTGTAGAATAAGTTGTTTTAAAATTCTGAGTATTTGAGACACTCAGAAAACAGTGTGCTCTTAATAATTTACTTTTATGGTTAACTCAGAGTTAACAAAAATATCTCTGTATTTATTTCTCATGGAGAATGTTTTTTGAAATACTCTCATTTCTTGTCTTAGACAAGAGTGAGCTTAAAGTTGCATATATATATGTATATACATACATACATACATACATACACACACACACACACACACATACATATATCAGAATTCCTTTAGGAAATTATTACACACCTTAATTTTTGTGCTACATAATACTTCTTGCAAAAAAGATATTTGAGTTGTGGCTCAAGGGTTCTTTTCATTCTTCAGTATATTAAGCATGTTTAGTATTTTAAATTAGGACTAAATAGTTGGTAAATAGTTATGCATTGTGAAAAGTGCATTTCAAGAGATGCATATTTAAGTGATTGGTCATTGTGAAAACATCGTATACAAACTAATATAGCTTTGGGTTTACTAAATGATAGTATTTTAAGGGATTGTGGTCAAATATGGCTTCTGGTGTTGAAATAGGAGCGGTGGGCTGCGTCCCCGGCACCCAGCCGCCCCCACGGCTAGCTTTACTCGAAATAATTACACGGAAACTGTATTCTTTTAAACACGGCTTGACCCATTTCTATCTAGCCTCTTCTAGGCTAGCTCTCGCACCTGGACTAGCCCATTTCTAATAATCTGCTGTAGCCCACGAGCTGGCTTACCAGGAATGATCTTAACCTGGGTCTGTCTGGAGTGTGAGAATCATGGCGACTCACTGACTCAGCTTCTTTCTCCCAGCCTTCTGTTCTGTTTACTCCACCTACCTAAGGGTGGGCCTATCAAACGGGCCTAGCAGTTTCTTTATTGCTTAGCCAATGAAATCAACAGATTGATATATGACACTCCCACATCATTCTGGTCTGGACCAAATGTTGGTATGAAATATATCACTCTGTCAATTTTTGTAGCCATTTAACCATGCACAGAACCAAAATATATGTTTTGTTTATTGAAAGGACTAGGTTCTTTTTTGTTGTTGTTGTTGTTGTTGAGGACTAGGTTCTTTACTTTTAATTAAATATTTTCCAATTTTCTTTCTTTCAGATGCAGGGACTTTGTAGGTTGCCCAGACTGACTTTGAATTCTTCTGTACTCCAGGCTCACACTGAAGTCGATTTCTGCCATCTTGCTTGCCTTATTCAGTTTTGTCTAATTTATATTTATTTTACTTGAAGTATATATAAGTATACATTCTGCATGTTAATGTACATAATATTTGTGTTATTTATTCAGGCTTTGAAGCTTTCTCATCCTAAAGATTTTAATTTTGAAAGTTTTTCTTAAGGTCGGCCTCATGACTCAGTCAGCAGGTGCTTAACATTTCTGAAGTCCTAGCATTGATCTCCAACACTGAACAAACAAAGGAAAATAACAAAGACTTCCCTGAATTATGTGTGTGGTTTAGAATTTATAACTGCTTTAATCTATGGTTACTCTTTGTTTCTAATTTTCAGAAGTTTTCTGAAGCTATGATAATATTAAGACAGCATTAAGAAACAAATAATCATGAACACCAAAGATTTTGTAGTTATTCCCTGGGGAAAACCTGGAAATTCTGTAAAACTAAAATATAAGTAAGTACAGACATATTTTTAAATTAAAATAGTTGCTAAAGTTTCTACATGTTATAAATTAAACTTTTATTTTTTAAACAGGAAAAAGGTAAAAGTCAAATTTCATAAATTCTTACTCCCGTTTTCTTTCATTGCTGTGTTTTATAGTAAGACTTCAAATTTATAAGCTATGTTCATATTATTGAGCATAAATTTATTAACTATTATATTACCAATGTGAAAAAGTTATTTTATCACTTTAATGATAGCATCAGTTTAGTAATATAGCTTGTAAATTTAAGGTTTATAATTGTTTCCAAAATTAGGACTAAAATTATTTTATTAGTAGTAATGGAAATGTGAAATTATATATAAAAGTTGGATTCATTTACTATTGAAGCAGTATAAGAGAAGGCTGTATTTTTGTGACCTATACCCAGGGTTAAGAGTTCAAAAAGAAGCTAAAATTAACGAGTCAATTAGGGCCAGAGATCTTTGAGCTTGGACACTGCTTAAGACAACATCCCAGGCACGGAATGGAATAGACTTAGACAAATTTACCCTCCAGGTAAAGCCAAGTACTTCCAATGTCATGGCCATCAATTCTGAGCATCCTCAGTATTTTGTAACTTCTCCTGGGTACTAAAGGGATGCACTCACAGTTTTCCTTGGAGACTGGCTACTGTCATTGGAAGTTTTCTCAACTACTACTAAGAGCCAGCCAGGAAGGGTTGGGAACATGCTGTCCACTTAAAATTTTAGATTTTGACTTTCCTGGTTCAGATCAGTGGTCTTTTAATTATTGGATGTCCTCAGAGCGTTTCATAAATTACACTTTCTTCACCTGTAAGTCATTGGGTGTAAAAATATTATAGAAACTGGAAAATGTTAGGCAAACACATGCTCTCACCATATTTAGATTTACAGTTGTTTTGCTGGTTATGGAAGTTGTTAAATTGTGAGTGTTGCTCTTTTGATCTTTAGAAACAAAGAAATGGCTGAGAGTACTCTATTGGATGTTTATTCTCTGTCTACACCTGCAAACTATTCACTAACAAATGTCTATCAGTGGTATACGTACTCTGAGAGCAAGTGGTGGCTACAAAGGGAAGAAACAAGAATCTTACTCTTTAAATAGCTTGCAGTGGATATGTGGTACAGTTAAATTGACAGGATAGTTTGGTTTGTGGTATAGCATAGGCTACATGTAGGCCCAGGGGCTTGGGAGTATATCGTCTATGTGGGCAGAATTGAGCAGATGAGTCAAGTTCAATGGAAAGAATACAGGTTCTTTGGTAGTTGTTGAATGGGAATGTTGTATTATACAGCATAAACTTTGTTTTTAAGACATTATCAACTTGCCTACGTTTCTAATAATACATAGTCAGAGAGAAGGGACAAGCCTATATAACAACTAATGGGTATGCAATAATCTTAAAAGTGATGAGTAAAGACACTGCTTTATGCTCTTATATCTCATAGAACTGCAACTCACAAGAGTGTGAAGGAAGAGACACTATGCTTATGACCCTGTAGTTCTCTATTAATCATTTTCTTGTTCCAAGCATCCTTCCTCTGGCACTCTTAATAGTGGTCCTTGTATTTCCTGACCCTCTGCTGTCAGCTTACCCACAACGTTCCCCAACATCCTCTTCTATCTTTGCTGTGTTCATATGGTCTTTTCATGGTATGCCATGGTGCCTCATAGTGGACTTGCCTACCCTTCTAGCCCAGGGTTTAAGGTTTTTTCCTGAAAGGCCTTTTTCTCTTTCTTTCTTTCTTTCTTTCTTTCTTTCTTTCTCTCTCTCTCTCTCTCTTTCATTTTTCTTCCTTCCTTTTCTTTCTTTTTTTGTGAGTCATATAAAACCAAGCATAAAATATGCCCATTTCTCAAAAATAGTCTTTTCATCTTCAGCTTTTTCCTCTTTATCTGCTACAGTGGGGTCTTTAGAAGCAGTGTGTCTTCTAAGAAAATTAAATGACAATAATGTTTGTCCTTTTTAATGCTTCTTTTGAAAGCAGTAGGTGAACTACTGTAAGCTCTTGGATCATTGAGTATGTGGATCATCATGAGAATGTTTTGAATCTCAGCTCTGTTCTCCTGCTCAGAGTGCTCTAGTCAAAAACATGAGTAGTAATTCTGGCTGTTTAAGTTACTGGTCTGGGGTTACTTTAGATTTGTGCTTTGTACCCTCTTTGGTTAGCCATCTACTTCCTATCAGCCTATAAATTTAGTTCATTTTTTTAATTAAATGCTCCAATTTTCCTCTACATTTTTTCTCCTTAGATAATCATAATCACTACAGTTAGAATTTTTGGTGCCATTTCTTATCTGCCTGTCTTGCTTCTAAGCCTTTTTACTTCTAATTTGAATTTTCATGGTACAGCAGACTGATCTTTATACACACAAGTCTGATCAAGTGTCCCTGAAGGGATCCTCATCGTTCACAGAACTCCCAGTCGCTGATCACACTCTCAGGGTTCTTTATGATCTGACCACCAGCCTCCCAGCAGGCCCACTTCTTCATGTTTTCCCATCTTACACTTAGTGAGCTGAAGCATGGAACTTCTAGCTCCTTGATTCATGTTTTATCTTTTTCCTCTGTCCACACTTTTCTTTCTTCCTGGGCCACTGTTACTAGCACCTCCCTCTGAACAGGCAAATGCTCTAATCCTTTATGTATTAGCTCAGAATTCATTTACTCCAAGAAATGTTCTTAGTCTGAAGTCAAGGGTGTATTCTCTGTCCACAGGCTCGAAGTCCAGCTGTCCCTTTCCTCAGTAATAGCACAGAGACTGTCTGCCTTCACCTATTTCCTTCTTGATTGTATTCATACTGAATTGGAGATTGCATCTGTCTTGCTGCCTTTCATTCCTCAGTTCTTGTGTGTAGTGGGCTATGTCTAACCTTTTGGATGTAATTTAAGTAACAAGCCATTTTCTCTATACTTTAGTTACTTTGAGATATCACCATGGACTATTTTCACCTGTGAACCAAAGCTTGGTACATTTGCTTTTCAGTGAAGGTTTGTCACCTCTGTAATTTAAATCTCCTTTCTTTCTTCATTATTTCTTAGTTTGAGTCAGACCATCATATTCACAATGATGTAGGGAAAGTTTTAAATTCACAATAGATACTGAAATCTAGACTCTTGGGTTGGCTTCTAGTTGTAGAATGGTTAGGATCTAAGTCTGGTAGGAGGGTGGAGCTTCAGATACTAATACAAAAATCTCTTAGGGATATGGAGATGATTCAGTGCAAACATGAAGATTTGAGTTCAGGATCAAGAAGCCACCTAATAAAAACTAGATATGCCATCACATGCTTAGAATCCCAGTGCTGGACAAAGCAGAGGTGGGCAGATCTGTTTTTCTGGTTGGTTAGTTAAGCCTACTTAGTGAGTTCCAGCTCAGTGAGGGATCCTGTTTCAAAAAAAGGAATAAAGGCAATAAGTAAGTAAATAAATAAATAGGAACAAAGAAAGATGTGGGTGATACCTTAGGAGTCTTAGCCAGTTTATCCTCTGGTCTCTATAGGTAGTCACATAGATGTACACGTACATACTTTTGCCTTCTACAAACAAAGATGCACACACACACACACACACACACACACATCTTTTGTAGATAATCTCCTACAAAGTATTAATAGGAGCTTTCTTCCAAAGAGAAATAAATTGTTCAGATGTTCAGCTTTTTGTATCCACATTAGACATTTACTGAAGGTTCCAAACTGCTGTTTCAACAGAATGAGCTCATGTATAAGGAAAACAATTGTATGACTAGGTGATTAGAATGCTTACCTAGCAGGTATGCAGCTCCAGGTTAAATCTCTATCCCTGCATTAGATGGCGGTTTATGTACTATGTTATGAACTATGTGATATAGTAAAGTCAATTATAAAAGTATAATTTTCTTCTATTTGTCACAGATATATATATATATATATATATATATATATATATATATATATATGTCATGGCTCCTGTACAAAAGCAAATAATGCAAATAATGTTTTTTCTGCTTTTAGATTTGAAGAGACACATGGCTTAAAGAGACTATTAATAACAGGCAAATACTTTTTAAAAAGGGCATAGGAACAGATGAACTAAGTCATTCTGTAAGCCTTACTAATAGCTACAATTTAAGAGCAGAAGTCTCTATGAAATTTGCTCGCCTTGAGGCTTATTTGCTTGCTCTAAATGACTCTTCGAATCATCTGTCTTTAGAAATGCTCGGGAACTGCAAATGGAGAAAATTCAGCTAGAACTCGAAAACCAAACGATGGAAAAGAAACTCCGAGAATTCCAATCCACATGGAACAAAGGAAAGGAAGAAATGAAGTGAGTGAATGTTCAGAGAAGTTTTCGGGGAGAGAAAGGGAGGGGAACAGAGAAAAAATGTATAGCTCAATAAAATCAATAAAAAAAAGAAATTTATTTTAATGGTTCAAAAAAAAAAGCACAATACTCCCTAATGTTGTACTGGTTTTAACATTCTATTCATTTGACTGAATTATATAAAGATATTTTGTATAACTTTTGTTATTCTAGTAAAAACATTTGGTGGGCTGATGACTTTTAACTGTTCCCGAGGAAGAAGGGATATTAAATTCCCTTTACTTTTGAGTTTTAAACACACTACTTTTTAAAATTACCAGGACTTTGGTTTCCGTCAGAGTATTAGCTTTTTTTCTGTTCCTAATTGCCTAATATGATAAGGTCCACAAGAACATGAGGCCTGGAATGCACAGGGAAGCAATGAAAACTTGATTTTTTGCTATGAAACAACTGCACTCAGGATACCAGAAAACCAAGTTGATGTTAAGGGTATTGTTGTGAAGTACAATTCTTCAGTGAGCAAATGTGTCCTTGCACGACATCAGAACTATGTAAACCTGTAGGTATATTTAAAATATTTTAAGCAGACTATATAATTTTGTTTTGTTGATAAAATCTCCATAACATTACTCTTATGTATTGTTGTGTGTTAATTTACTTTTTTTTATTATAACACTAACACACATCAGACTTACTTGTGTCAAGAGCAACTGACAGTTACATGATAAAAATGATTTTTTTTTTTTTTTTTGGTTTTTCGAGACAGGGTTTTTCTCTGGTTTTGGAGCCTGTCCTGGAACTAGCTCTGTAGACCAGGCTGGTCTCGAACTCACAGAGATCCGCCTGCCTCTGCCTCCCGAGTGCTGGGATTAAAGGCATGTGCCACCATCGCCCGGCTAAAAATAATTTTTTAAGTCTAAGCTCACAACCAGTCCATTTCCTTGCACCATTTAATGAATAAATTTTTTTTTCCCGCAAATGTCTCATCTTTGTATAAGTCTTTGTGGTAATACGTGGGTGTGATTGGTATGTTTATAAATGGACTAATCTATAAGTTATGAAAATAATTCCCATCATAATATTTTGGTCTGTGCTCTAGCCATACACTGATTTATCCCATTTGTTAGTGGCTTACCTTAGCAATATTTTACAAATATAAATGCCACCATTTATATGACCTGTACATGTACTTTTGCTTTTATACATGGCATCTTTGAATAATTCCTCTCTCTGTCATTTTAGGTTCAGAAACATGTTTATTTTATATTGTGCTTAACATGGGTAAATTGCCCTATAAATGGGCTGCAGGAGTTTACAGCCTCCTATAAAGCAGAAGGCTACACATTTCATATGTGTTTGGTTATTTTAGGTATCACTGTAATTTGTAAACTGGAGTTCATGGAATCTGCTCCCGGAAGGGACTTTTCTTTAGCTGTGGTGCCTCTAGTGGATGGTCTTTTAGAACATTTTTCAACTCAAATGGGTTTTAAGAGTAGAACTATTCTCTCCTAAGGTTTCACAGATAAAATGAAGACTTACCACCTGTTGCCTCCCAGGAAAAGGGAGACCCACAATTCCAGTTTGGGGTTTATTATTTAATGTCTATGTGACATTGGGCAGTTTTCCAATGAAATATGATACTTTAGTCTTGGCATCCTCAAAAATGCTTTCCCCCCACAGTGGGCCTCAATGAACTCCACTTTGAAATCTGTAACATTAGAACTTGCCTTCTTTGTAATCTGTGTTATTTCCAACATAGGAGCTCATTCTATCACCGGGCAGACCTGCTGTATTTTTGGGGTATAGATTTGTTCTTTTTTTTCCATTTTCATTTGTAGATACCTGGTTTTATAAACTTTATGGCCATCTGTAAATTTTTCTATAAATTAGTAAAAGTCAGTCACTGTAAATGCCAAGTAGTGGAATGCTTCTGTGTTTCCATATTTCCCTTTCAGTCGTTGCTACACAGACATCACAGATAGAGAGGAGTGACCCTTAAAGTGATAGACTGGTGATAAACTAGGTCATTTCTGACCTCCTATTCCCAACTTATAGTGGTTTATCAGGCTGACATCCAGATTTTTATATGTTTTCACTAAAAGGACTCATGTTTTCAATAATTACATTTTGTTTTATGCCCATTGAAGGTCAAGTGGACATTACTGGAATTCTGGAAGTGTGGGCAAATTGAGTAACAAGTCACATCTAACGTCACAAAGTAAAGTGAATGCCAGTAAGGTAAGAAAGAAGCCATTTTTTGAGCAAGAGGACATGCATTATGTTGTCGGGTTTTGCATTCTGGCTCATACTCAAAGATCCTCCATCCTTGCTTTACTAGCTTCTGTTTAGGTTCACAATCTTCAGGTTAATACTGGCTTTCATTATTCAGATATGCTTTTTTTTCCATGCAGAAGTATTTGTTTAATAAAATATTTCAGAAGGTTCTTGAAAATTACTTACAGGGGAAATTTTGAATTCCAAACAGTTATTCTATTTATTTAGAGGACATTGAATACAATGACAGTTCTATATTAAGGTGAAGACTAATATTATATGACATGATGGATTATGAGCTTCAGTTCTGACTTGATATTATTTTTTATTTCCTTAATATTGTTGCATTCTGCTTGCATAATAATTACTCATACACTCTTAGCCACATGAGTAAAGACGTCCAAGAAAAGATTTGCATGGCAATTCCCAAGCAACCTATTCACTTTCTCATTACTGTGTCTCCCGAGTGCAATTGTAAATGATATCATGGCATCACATTTATGATTGCAAGTAGGTAGGTGTTTTCATATAAGGAAACCGTTTCCTCTGGATCTCCTTGGCACAACATTCGTGACTTCGTGAATTTTAACTTGCACAGCGTTTTATTTTTATATACCTATCATTAAACTTTCATTGGGTCATTTGGCACCAACAAATATCTTACACGGCACTTCTGTACTTTTTGGCTTCAGAGAAAGCATTTCATTGTACACTGCCATCCCCTTTGTGAGTCAGGTTTCTTTCACTCTTGGGTTAAAAATTTATAAGCCATATTTAACCCGTCATTATCTTTCCATGGTACTGTCCTGTGTTGCATTTCAGATGTTACTGTAAATATGGTAAACATTTTGGCCACAAGCAATCGTGGTAGCATCCTCTTGTATTCCCAGAACTCACGAAGTTGAAGCAGCGGGATTGCCAGAAGGTTGAGGCCAGTTTGAGTGATGGTCTAAGATCCCGAGTCAAAAAGAAAAGATCAAAACAAAACAAAACGTGTTGGTTGTCATTGATCACCAAATCTGTGATCATGAACTTGGATGTGAAGGCATTTGTAAATTGTTCTTTTGGATTTCCAGCGATTTACTCCTTGTTTTCAAGGACGTCCTTGTCTAATAAAGAAAAAATGAGTCACATCAAATATTTTTTAGTAAGAGCCAATGAAAAACATTTGCAGTGAACATTTTGGATATGAATAAATGTGTACTTGAGAAATAACAATTTGGTTAATGACTTTATGTAGGAAAATATTTGAAAAATAAGTCAAAATCCTTGCTTCCATAAACATCATAGTTGTAAAAGAAGGTAGAAGTAGAAACTGTGAAAGGGATCTAGTGTGTGAGAGACTGGAAAGGAGATTTTACAGAGGCTGACCAGTAGAATTACAATGTTATAAGAATGATTTGTGATGGTGTTTCTTTTCCAACTGACCATTTGTTTGTTAATAACAGTATAAAGCAGATAGGGTGTACACAGGTTGGTATGAAATTAAACAGTATTGAATAGACTTTGAACATGAATTTCCTATGTATATATTTCCATTTATTCAGGTGACTAACAACTTTTCGCCTGATCATTAGCATGGAAATTAAAGGGAAGATAAACAAAAATACAAATAAGTGTTTCTTTTCTACTTCCCAGTCACTTTGTGAGATGTTTTCACTATGTGCGCTTGCTGCTCTCCAGATCAGAGGGCACAGAGTTATAGAGGCAGTAGATGGCTAGAAAAACACCATAGAAGTCATGCTAAGGAAGTCTGAATTCAAATGGAAACAAGAGAAATGTAAAGAACAGCACTGCCCCCAAAATACGGCGAGGAAAGAAAGAGGAAGTCAAATACACAGCATATGGTATAGACTTCATGGAGTAAGAGAGCTTAAAGGAAGAAGCAAGGAAAGTCTGTGGTACAAGTTTAGGATTTTTTTTTTTAATTTTAATGTGATAGGTAAAGCCAAGTAAATCTATCCTTAAGAATTTACATAAATAAGAGAGATGTGAAGAATGAAATGCAAGGGAGGCCAGGGTGTGGTATATATGGTAGCCCTCAAAATATAATATTTACTCAGTATATTTTATACCAGCCAGGAGCTTATCTTAGTTGACTTTTATTTTACCAAGCACTTATATCTCTCCCAAGAGTCAGTTTCTAATTATGGTTTCACAGATGAAGTAATTTCACATCAGAGAAGTAACCCAATTTGCTCAATGTCAAGCACGATGACCCACAATTCTGAATGCACGCTGTTAGGCTTGCTGTAGAATAATCTTCCAGTTTTCCAGTGAACATTGCCTGAAAGTAAAAGAAGGGCATGGGGCCAGAAATTTAGGATTTCTTAGAAGATTAAAAGCAAGGAAAAGCCTTTTTAGAACACGTGGAGATGCTAATGCCGTCCGGTATGTTGTACCTTAAAGAAATTTTACGGTAGAGCAACAACTCTCAGTTGAGGTAATTTTGTTTCCCTGGGGATCTTTGGCAATGTCTGAAGACTTTTGCACTTGTTACTGTCAAGAGAAGTGTTCTGTTTGATTTTAGCAAAGATGCATAATGGGCCAGGACCAAGGTTGCTACTGAACTTGCTACAGTACACTGCAGATACTCCTGGTGTTAGCAGTGCTGAGGCCTTATAAATTAAAATTCTCATTCATTTAGCTATCCCCACAGTCAGAGGAAAGTGAACCACTTTGACCCTCTGCTATGCATTCATAAGACACTCATAACTTTTAGAGTTCTGAGCAAGATGAGAGATGTTGCATGCAAACCTATTTTTGAATTGTTACGATGTCTATATGTGGAAAATGAGACTATTAAAAAGCTGGGGTTCAGTCATTGAGCCACCATTAGATCATTGCAACCATATATTTCAAGTATTTTTAAAAAATGAAAGAATGGGAGACAATGCAGACAAATTACTGTAGTGAACATAAGAGTAAGAACACATAATGATTCAGTGGGGTCAAGGAAGAATTAAGTAGTTGGGGGTTTGGTGGACCCAAGTCAGTCCGTTATAGGCTGAGGAACGGGAAAACAAGTAAAGGAGAAATTGAAAATGCTAATGACAGAAATACCAATGGTTGGGCTGTAGTCTTTGAGAGGGTGGTTCATTAAAGACACCTTCATTGGGGAAGGGAGAACACATTTCCTCTGGCAAGCAAAACAGAAAAAAAAATAAGTGTAAATAAACATAAATGCTAAGGATTGTTTTGACAGATGATACAGTACCTGTAATGAGACACTGACATTCTCATGGAGTCGAATGTGATGGCATCTGCTCAAGCGACAGACAGGAAACAGGACAGCTATGCGTTCTTGAGAGTGGAGGTGTGGAGTAGCATCTGTGGGAATCATGACTAGGGTTCAGCAGTAAATGATTGAACTCACTGCTAAGAAGTCCTATGTGACCTGGGGGGTGAATTCAGCATGGGTTGGCAGGAAACCACATAGCATTATTTCATCACAATAGTAGGTAGAATGGGAGAGCTGAGAGTAGAAGGAAAAGGGATCTTACTTACCACTGAGAACTTCAGTATTTGGAATTTTGTAGGTGTGGCCATTTAGAATGATGTCTAGCTGCAGGTTTGGTCACAATGGCGGGGAGCTAGAGGCATTGAGATGTTCCCAGCTGCCAGACTGTTGTAGGATCTTCAGTGTTTGGCATGACTAACGGGCAATGGGGTAAAGAGAAATATGGAGTAGGTTTCTGAGGTGTAGGTGGAAGAGGAACCTGGACATTGCTAAAGACAGTAAGTAGGAAGTGGTTATCAGTGGATGAGAATTTGCTGAGTGATGATGGTGGACTAGCACCCTGGGTAAAAGATGCAGATTTTTCCCACTCTATGCCAGTGAGTAACAGGGAGTGAAACAGTATCTAGTTGTCTGGGTAAGTGGCTCATTTGGAGAGTACTTACTTAGAACACAGTAAGTATTGGGAAATGGAGCAAGTGGATCAGAGTTCAAGGTCATCTTCAGCTACTTAGTGAGTTGAAGATCAGTCTATCCAAACAAAACAACAAACGCAAACCCGCAAAAAGGAACTGGTTTCTGTAGATATTATTTTAGAGAAGCTTTGACCCATAAAATGGGCTTCAGTTAATATGAACTTTTGGGCTGAAATGCTTTTAGGAGAGATTAGTTAAGTGGATTTTTAGACAGCATTTTATGGAACCCTAAGGAACTTGTGTTATATAGATAGGAAGCAGAGATGGAATATTTCAGGAGATGGAAATTGTTGAAAGAGTCCTCCTGGGGGCACTTTGGGCACAGGAAGTCACTAGTGGAAGGGTGTAGGTATTTGTGCTGTTTGAGAGACCACTGACCATAGCTTGGTTCACACCCATTGCTCAGATGTTAAAGATTACAGAGCCAATTAAACCTTATTGAGAAGCTCTTGTTCAATACCTTCAGGCACAGCAATGAGTGGCTTTAGCACAGTAAATTATTGTTTCAGATCCTTAGAATCATGCAAACACGAGTGTGTGCATTTGTATCCATTGGCTAACTCTACTTTATCCCTCAATTATTTTTCAAACATAAAAATCATATTTAATGACAAAATTCTATTAGCTCAAAACTAGAAGCTAGCAGTTTGCTCACTAAAATATTTTTATGAAGTTTAGATAATTTGAAGTAAATATGAATACATTTATAGGATAGAAAAATATTACTCACAGCAATAAAAAGAAATTATGAAATTTCCCTAATAACTTCTTTATTTTCCTGACATACCTACTCATAAGGAGCTCATAGCCAGGCTGATCACATTGAGAGTCAGAATTCAGTTGTATCATTGAGGCAATCATGCTGGATAATTCAGTGAGGTTAAATTAGCTATAACTTGTATAACATCGCCAACTTAAAAAAATAAAAGTGTGATTCATAAAGTTTGATTATTTCAATTCTATTTTCTTTTCTGCTGCGTTTGGTACAGAAAACATCCGAACAGCTACTTCAAAGAATGTGAACAATAAGTGTATCTTTGGAGCAAAACCACAGAGAATAATTAGGCCTAAATTTTCAAAGATGACTGCAGTTTGTACAGCCATAGATATAGAGACGGCCATTGTTCTCATATCTTCATGTACAAATTGGGCAATTGAGCATGCAAATTGCAAATTGAAAGCTGGGCATGAATTGACAGTGTCTATGTAAATGCACACCATCCTCTGGGCTCACTGTGCACTTTCAAATGCTGGTTTTAATAAGACCCAGGCGAATGTGTTCAATTGGCAGGTCTCTCTCGCTGCCTACAATGTTAAGATCCAAGGGATTCAAAAAATTGTTTATATTGAAATTCACAATATTGGCTCTTACGTTCTCAAGCATATTTTAGCAGTCATGTAGGAAAGTAAGGAATCATAAATAATACATAGGATTGGTTAAGACCACAATGTTGAAATGTGGTTCTCTAAACTCTACAAATAAGATAATGCCATTGGCTTCTGCGGTTATGTGAACAGAGTGGTTTGGTCAGAATTCAGTGCGGATTCAGTGTTTATACATACCTTCAGGAGGAAGAAGAGACTTTTAAACCTTCACAGTATGTGAATGCTAGTGTTTCCTTAAAATCAATTCACGATGGCATATAGTAGTTTTTTTATGCTCCAGTTATATTACATACTTGCATAGAAATGTGTTTTTGAAACTTTGTATAATCAGAAAAATACTCTCGGTATGTTGTGTAATAATTGGTCTATGAACTGCATATGGCACTCTCGGTATGTTGTGTAATAATTGGTCTATGAACTGCATATGGCACTCTCGGCATGTTGTGTAATAATTGGTCTATGAACTGCATGTGGCGGTTCACACTTTTATTGTCAGTGTTTAGGAGGAGTACCAGAAGGATCATGAGTTAGAGGTTAGTCTGAGATTCATGGTGAGGTCCTGTATCAACTACAGAACACAACTGAAAATGATTTATATACCCAATATTTATTAAATTTTTCTTTTAAGTGAAATTTAAAATTTACATAGGCAGTTAATTATCTTTTAGTTTCAAAGTATTCTCAAATAATATGTTTTCATGCAAAATGTACTCAGAGGGTAAAGCTATTTAACATTTTGTTAATATGCTTTCTTTGGGTAAGAGAATGTGTACCTGAAAAATAACATCTATTTTATTCATGCAGTTCTCTTCTGGAAATGTGAAATTAAAGATACTGAAGGAACAGATTCAAGGTAAGCATCTTTCTGTATTATAGCCTAAAAGCAAGGCTCTTCATATATCATCTATAGAATATATATATATATATATATATATATATATATATATATTAGACTATAGGGTCTTCACATATATTGGGTGTAAATAGCGGTATTGTCTAGTGACGAATGTTCAGGTCAAGGAGGTCAAGGGTGTCTAAGCAAAGCAGGTAAAAGTGAATGCATGGTGTTGCCCTTACTTACGGGTGCTAGCAGACATTGCTATAGGTTCTACCAGATCAGACCTTCTTCATCCAGTTATGGAGCTAATGCATCAGTGCTGTGTGAACATGTAGAAACGTTCAGAGTTTCATTACATTGCTAATCTAAAACAACAACAACAAAGTCATCAAAAACCCCATCATACTTTAAACTGATTATTTTAATTCTTTGTTTTCCTTCTAGCACCAGCGAAACAGCAAGCGAATTATAAAATGGCTCAGTCTTTTGGAAGGGAAAAGCCCAAGACTAAAAAGAAAGTTTGTGGACAGTGTGAGAACAAAGCTGCTCTCCTTGTAAGTACACTACAACGCCAACAGGACAGACCTACGAGGGCCCCTTAGACACCCTCTTCCCCTGGGTCTGCTTCCACAGTCCTATCCCTGTAACAGTCCCCACATCATGACCAGGAGACTCAGTATGAGCTATCAGTGCTAGTTCTTACCGTATGCTCGTTTCTTCCTAGATCTTATAACTTATTTCTCTTCATCTATGTTTTGCTTCGCTGACCTTTTAACTTTTCTTCCCTTCTGTTTCTTTCTTTCATGGCTTCTCACATCTGGATGGCTGATGATGGTCTGGCTTCTTGCCAGGATGCATCCCTCTCTTTCTCTCTATTTTTCTTCTCCTCCTTTTTCTCAAGCCTCGATTTTTCCTCCCACTTATTCTATCCACCCACCAACCCCATCTATACCTTTTTTGCCTAAGTATTGACGACTCAGCTGTTTCAAACCCATCAGATGCCTTAGGCAGGCAAGGTGAAACAAATACAGTGCATATTTACATAATTAAACAGATGCAGCATAAGCAAATGTGCATCGTTACATACTTAGATATCCCACAACATGTGATACTCCTTTTCATTACTGTTACTCTATGTTCTGGCAGATAAGTTTAACATCTCTGAACATGATGCTCTCACTCTTTCTTGATGGCATCGTTTATAATTAAGTCTACCCTCCTTTCAATTATGCCTAGCAACACACAGAAGCAACAATATTTTCATTGCAAATGCAATGTCCTGTCATAATTTTGAAAGGATGGACACCTCTGACACCATTCCCCATATGGTTCCTTTTAATAGTTTCATACCCTACCTGCTGTATCAAGATAGGTGTAGGCGGTTTGCAATTTGGAGATTTGCACGTTAGGTTTCCCTGTGAAGGACATGACCTTAAGTAAATTACTGAGTCCTTCTGAAGATGGATGCCACCTGTGACCTATGCCACAAAGCTAGCGATGGTTATAATTTGATAAAGTGCTTGTTGCTACATCTAACACATACAAGGGAAACAATACCTAAAATGATTTTGTAGTTATCTTGTCAGCTTATGACTTTATGCACTTAAAAATATTAATAAAATCCAACACTTTCAATATTTTAAATGACTTTTCAGAAGCCTCAGGCAGTTTCTCTATGCTAAAAGTAGAAAGAAAAGTTACCTATTAATTTGGCACATGTGGATGATTTAATTAGAATGAAATGAGTTCTAAAAACTAATACAGCTGCTCTGGAATTTGCCAAATCAACCAGATAGTTCTTCAAATTGCACCCGGGAGTTTTTATCATTGAGGAAACTATGTAGCAAAATGGAATCCTTATCTATGGTTTAGTATGTTGCTGCCAGTTGCACAAACTGCCTAAAAAGATTTTCCAGTTGGCAGTCATTTTAACCCAATTTAAATCCAAATATGCTTGTATAACAAAATACGCGAGCTTGCTTGGCAACCCCAGCTTTGATCTTCCGGTCTAGAAATATCTGTTTAGCTGTTTTCATTAAACATCTGTTAATAAATACATGGCTTTGAATTCCATGCTGAACCTGGTTTTTCAGCTCCCTGACTCATATTATGTGGCAGAAACTGCCAAAGGTTTATGAAAAATTCAGAGGAATGTTAACAGGTATGTTCAAAAATTGGGATTTTGAAATATTCATTACTGTATTAATACTCTCATATAGCTGTGTGAAATTATAACTTTAACATTTATTTGGCACTTAGAATTGTATAATTAAGGACTTTTGTTATAACCTCTTAGACTTTATAGAGCTGTTGCTTTTTCTGCTTACATAAGATTTCCAGCTTTTTTCAATTATCTTTGAAAATGTATTGAATTAATAATAGACCATGCAGTCATCTGACATACTTGATTCATTAAAGATTTTGTTAGGTTTTAAAGAAAGAACTGTTTGTTACATCACACTTGAGGATCTGCCTGGATGTACAAGTTAGTGGAGAAGCCACAATGACATCCACGTGTTTCAACTCAGAGCTCAAGATCTCAACCATGATAAACACCGATGTTTGCTCAGTCAATCACTGACCACTGAAAGCAGTACTAATCATTTTTTGACACAGACCTTCTGACACTCTCTCTCTTCTATATAATTCCTTCTTCATGTTTCCCATCGTTTTCTCATCCTGGGCTAATCTGAAACACATCACCCTGTGAAGGTGTTGAAGCAATGTTACAGCAACTTCATAATAGCGACTTCAATCCTAGTAAAGCCTTTTTTTCCCCCTTCTCCTTACTTGAACTGGTTCCTAACAGAATCATGGGACAGGTACGTTGCATACCCAAACTTTCCACAGTTTAGTCAGTACATTTTTCTATTGCGGAGAAGCCAGAAGATAAACTGACCCGTGACATTCTCAGTCGCCAGAAACACCACATCTTGTTTTCTCTTTCCTTTGCACACACGTCTGACAACATTCTCAAAACTGTATTTTAAGAATCATCAAGGAGGGAATGCATTCATGGACACATGTGGAAAGTGTTGGAAGAGACATTATATATTGTTTTCAGTTAGTGTTGATGTGCATAAAAATAAAACATGTCATGAAATGAGAGTCTTAATGTATAATATTTCCACATCATTTCCACCAGGTCAAGGAGTTTGACTGGATGCTATTAGTTTTTTAAGACTGTTATAAAGTGGTGCATGTATATATGCATATAATATGGATAGCCAACATGACCACAACTATTATTTGTTCTCAGAGTAAATAGTTTCTCAGTGTTAAATGTTAGCATTTTGGCACTTTTTCCTTCCAATGACATCTGTGTAGTTGGAGGAATAAATACAAAGCATATTAGCGTCTTCGTGCAAACCTTTTCTGATGGATGTGCTGCCTTTGTGTCCTCTCATATACACACACACACGTGCCTGTTTTTAAAGGTGTGCCTGGAATGCGGTGAGGATTATTGCTCGGGATGCTTTGCTAAAATACACCAGAAGGGGGCACTCAAGTTCCACAGAACGACTCTTCTACAGGTAGGCCTCTTCCTAAAATGTGCCATCACAAATGAATTTAAACATATTTTATTATTTACAATTCATGAAATTTCATATTAACTTCTGAAAATCCTGTTATGTATAGTCATCCTTGACTTGTATCTTAAAATTATTTCACTGAATGACAATCCAGATTCTATTTTACTGTGTAAACTTTTTAAACACAGTCCCTGAAATACTTAGCTCGATTAAAATCTTCAGATTATGCCTCTCTTGGTAAACATAAAATACTAAGATTATACAATATTTTTATGTGTCAAAGCTTTAAATTAATGATTTTTTAAGTATCATTTCTAGCTAGTCTGTGAACAGGAATTTGTTTTCTTGCGTGTTGTGTAAACAGTCATTCGTCTTCATGAACTATCATTTAGATAAGCTCATCTCTCACGGGCACTCTTTTCTTTCCATATACTGGGATCTTTTATTTGTTCAGTTAAATCCATTGATTAGTGTGTAAAATGCCTTAGCTTTAGCCCTCATAAATGCCTTTAAATGTTTCGCACTTAAAGAATAAATATAGTTAGATATAGAGATGAAATACACTAGTTACACTTAATGTTGCATTCATTTGTACTAAATTTAAATACTTTTATAGCAGTTTATTCAACAGCAATTTCTGGAGTATCTTCTAGGATGCTAGGGTCTATGCTAGGGAGTGACATAACACAGCTTAATGTTGCACACATCCTGCTGGTAAGAACCCAGAAAGAATGTGAGAATAAAAGACCCGGCTTACAGTTAAAGATTCCAATGGCCATAGGGAATGAAAAGGAGATGATCAAATTTGTGTCTGAAGACATCTCTGTGAGATTCGAATCTATATATTTCCTTTCAACATAAATATGTTTAACTCCTAAAGATGCTGACCCATAATGAAAAATACAAAGCACCTATAAATAAAAATACAAACTCTCTCTCTCTCTCTCTCTCTCTCTCTCTCTCTCTCTCTCTCTCTCTCTGTGTGTGTGTGTGTGTGCGTGTGTGTGTGTGTGTGTGTGTGTTTGTGTACACTAGAGGACACCCACCATTCTTCACAAGCATAAACATTGTTTTTGCATCTTTGTTTCTCCCTGGGATCCAGCTTCACTGCTTAGGCTCTATTGCCTGTCCCAGAAGTTCTAGAGATAGATTTTCTTTACCTGCCCAGTACAAAATTTACCAATGCATTCCATCATGCCTGGAGATTTATGTATGTGCTGGAGATTGAATTCAGGTCTATGGCTTCCAAGGCAAGAGTACTATTCAATGAGCTACCTCCTCATTCCCAGTCCATTACTTTTGAATTGACACACAGTTTTTGGAGCTCACAAACAGAAAGGACAGAGAAGGTGGTAAAATCCTACTTTTTTTTTTATCTTGGGGTAATAAAACTGAATATTACTAGAAGCAAAATTGATTTATAATAAGGAGTCTAATTGTTAAGATGTAACTGCTACAGAATTCATCCTGATGAAGGTAAATATCCAACCACCTGGCTGTAAATTCTTACTCGATAATTACCAGTGGGTAGCTTATTCCCTCATCATGTGTTTTTAAGCACCATTTGGTGAGTGAAAATTTTGTTGCTTTAGAAGGAAGATACAAAGGAGAGTGAACCTCAGCTTCTCCCTTTAACCTTAGTGTCTGAGTTTCTTGATGTGTACAAATGGACTTCTCCTTTCTTTGTCTTCTCTTCTCACTTTTCCTCTGTCCCCCTCCCGCATCTCCCACACATCCTCCCCAGGACTTTGATATAATATAAATTTCTATAGATATGTGGATATGAGTCAAATCATGCTTTCCGAAACCAACCCGAACTAGAGAGAAATTTATGAACACTGAGCTATTTCTATTGCATATTTCTCTATTACAATAACTGAAATGGATTCTATTACTCGATTGGATGAATTTAATCGTTTTTATATTAGAATCCTATGGAATTCCAAGTGTTGAATTGATCAAGAAAGTACGAAAGCATTTACTATGTATATATTAACTATTACACTTTTTAAAAACAAGAGTTTTTAGAAACGACACTAAAAAGTTTAAGAAAAGTTACGGTAAACTTGCATGCACATCATACAGAAAAGAAACATTTTAAATATATATATATAAAAAGAAAAGCTTCTTGAAGTGTTATGCCAGCAGCAGGGACAATGAGAAACAGGATGACAAAGCTTTAACAGTGGGTTTGTTTCCCAAATGACTGTAAAAGGTGTGACAGCTGCAAAAGGAAAAACCAAGAAAAACACAGAAAAAAAATGTCTCCAGTCTGTAAGCAAGCTAAGTTACACAGCCTGAGATCTGATCCCTTGGCCTCCAAGACTCTGCCAAGTGCCTACCCCACCCCTGCATGTAACCCTCAAGGAAGTCATGGACAGCTGCCCTCCACCTCTGTACAGGACAATCTAAGTCCATGTAGCCTTTGTAACTCACAAGAAGGGAATGGTAGTTACCCTGCAGCCTGGCATTGTGGGAACCAATGTCCTCCAAAACTCTGGAGACAAAACAGTTTATGTCCAGACAGAAAGCAGTCCATTGTAAGTAGTTTTAGCTTGTTTTTTGCAATGCCGGCCTCAACACCACAGAGTTAAAAACGGTAGGAAGTACTCTGGTGTCTCTGGTAATCATGAACCTTTCTCCAGGGGTGTTTGCTTTGTTTTCATAATAAAAAGAAGGGGGAAAAAAGAAAAAAAAAAAAAGAGTTTTTAAACTCTTTGAAATGTAAATCTCTTGTGGACTCCATAGTGCCTTTGTAGAGTATTTATAGCAATCTGTAGGCTATTTTCTTCATTTTTACCGATATATAACTTATAGACACCATAGCATGTGTTCAAGCCCATTTGCTGTTTCTTTTTTTTTTTTTTTTTTTTTTTGGTTTTTGGAGACAGGGTTTCTCTGTGGCTTTGGAGCCTGTCCTGGAACTAGCTCTGTAGACCTGGCTGGTCTCGAACTCACAGAGATCCACCTGCCTCTGCCTCCCGAGTGCTGGGATTAAAGGCGTGCGCCACCACCGCCCGGCCCATTTGCTGTTTCTAAGTCTTGAGAAATACTACCCTAATCAAGTCAAGGCACATTTCAATCATTTCCTTCACCGTGTTTCTTTTCCTTTTCTTTTTGTGATAAAAGCCTACACTATTGCTGGCATTGTGCTCTCTAGTTTTGATTACAGAGAAGAAAATGTTGTCAAGTCACAAATAGTAAAATGATATTTAAGCTCCCTGGGGATTTAAAATTGAGGAAGACACATTTGTCTCAAAAAGTTAGAATGGGTGAATTTCATGTTGTATTGAAGAAATCAAAGAGTATGAGAAGTCAATTCCTTGGAGGGGGGATGATGTACATAAAAGTGCTGTCAAATGACTCCTGAGAACACATTCTCTTTGGAGTTCATGGTTTACCATCCCTATTGCCTGCCAGTCTGTTGATACTGGTGCTGACATGGGACAAGTCCGAGGAAGCCTGCCTGGCCCACCTTCTGACTGTCTGCCTGCCTTCCTTCCTCCCTCCCTCCCTCCCTCCCTCCCTCCCTCCCTCCCTCCCTTCCTCCCCTCCCTCCCTCCTCCCTCTTTCTCTCTTTCTTTCTTTCTTTCTTTCTTTCTTTCTTTCTTCTTTCTCTCTCTGCCTGCTCTTTTCCCCTAGAGTTTCCTGTGCGTTCCTACTTCTCCCCATTTTTCTTTTTTCTCTTTTCTTTTACATTTACTTCTAAGACATTACCTAGTTTTACTTAAGAAAATCCCTACAATACTAAAATCAAGCTTTTTGTTACCATTTTCTTGCTAACACAATTTAAAACAATATTCTATTTTATTTATGAGTGATTTATGTTTGGCAGTGATTGAAATATCTCGGATTTCAATGCCTCTTCAAGCCCTATTACACAGTCAATCATGTGCGGAGTAAAGTATAAAGGCACAGGAACAACTGCAGACTATAAAAGTTAGAGTTTTTTAATTAGAAAAATCGTCAAGACTGATACTGGAGGGTTTTCTTTCTATAAGAAAAATAAGGTCTTCACACTGGAGCACTGGACTGAGCTCCCAAGGTCCCAATGAGGAGCGGAAGGAGGGAGAAGATGAGCAAGGAAGTCAGGACCAAGAGGGGTGCACCCACCGATGGAGACAGTGGGGCTGATCTATTGGGAGCTCACCAAGGCCAGCTGGAAAGCATGGGATAAAACTGGACTCTCTGAACATGGCGAACAAAGAGGGCTGATGAGAAGCCAAGGACAATGGCAGTGGGGTTTTGATCCTACTTCATGTTCTGGCTTTGTGGGAGCCTAGCCAGTTTGGATGTTCACCTTCCTAGATATGGACGGAGCGGGGAGGACCTTGGACTTTCCACAGGGCAGGGAACCCTGACTGCTCTTCAGACTGGAGAGGGAGGGGGAGAGGAGTGGGGGAAGGGGGAGAAATGTGGGAGGAGGGGGAGGGGAATGGGAGGAGGGGGAAGGTTTTCTTTTCCTTTTCTCAATTAAAAAAAAAGAGTAAAGAGGCACCTGTGAACATTAAAATGAAGCAAATGCTCCATTCTCAAGCAACAGTCAAACTACCTCAAGCTCCAGTCACCATGTAAATAGACTCATTTTGGCACAACATCCTACCGAACTCCAAAGAGAAGCAGACAGAGAGCTCTCTGTTCTCAGAAAGGAGGCTTCATTCCTTCCCACTATGGTGCTGTTAGTTGTGAGAGATAGGGTGAGTAGCACAAAATAAACAAACAGAAGTGAGAGATAGGGTGAGTAGCACAAAATAAACAAACAGAACCCAAAAAAGGCAAGGAGGGAGTGCTGCACTAAAATGGTCAAGAGTTACCCAAATCTGAAATTTCTCTAACTTGCTTGTGCCTGTATTGTAGGTACCAGAAATCTGTAAATTAATGACTAGGTCTGCACAGAACCCTCCTAATTTCATCATCTTATGATGTCTCTTTTTCCTCCTCGCTTCCTTTTTCTTCCTATTTCTTCTTTTGTTTCTTCCCTTTTCTCTTTCTCTCATACT